TTTTTCCCATTTTTTTCAGTCATCAAATATTTTCACTACCTGATCGTTAACAATTGAATAAAGTATATGCGGTAAATGAGTATAGTAATATTCGAATTCATCTTCCAATATATTGCTTTGTAATTCTTCGATATTAGCAAACTGAAAAAATACGTGTAATAAAGGTGGAAATTTTTGTACTCCAATTTTCATCATTTCTTTGCCAAATAACATTTGACCCTGACCCTATCCATTAGTAATTTCCTCTTACATATAATCATCGGAATCAATCGATCACTCAATATATCACATTTGTTGATGATGAAAATAAAAGTAATCATCTATCGAAGTACACATGTACGTTTTAATTTCACACAAAAAATAATTAGTGATTTAAAAAAAGAATTCCAATCAATCCATAAAACACTGATAAAAAAGCAAAAAAAAAAATCATTGTTTGGAATTTCTTCCTAATCAATGATTTCTTTGTCTTTTTTAAAAAAATTTTTTTGTCATATATCCATCCTATCATATATATTCTTCTACCATACACTACCTACTCCATTACAACTTTTATATTAGCATGAAGTTAATAGGTCAAATTTACAGGCAATACTTCTTATCAATCATTTAAATTTTGTTAAATTACCTGTCAATACGAATTATTCATCCGCAATCAATTCTTTCAGATGTACTTCAAAAATGATTTTAAAAAAAAAAACATTCACAATCATTTATCATACCTCTTGTTTTACAGTTTTTAGTGCCCATTTTGCTGTTTCTGATTTTATTATTTCAACATACCTAAAAATAAATTAAATTTTTTTAGAAAAAAATCTTGCTGTAAAACTTTTATCGGAAAATATGCATTTTAGCAAATCGAAAGTTAAATTTTTTGATAAAATTAAAAATTCAAAAAAAAAAAACCTTTCTGAAAAATCTCATTAAAAAAAAAAACACATACATATCAAAAAGGCGCATTAATTCATTTCGTTCTATCAATGGTCTATCTTGAACAAGTGAAATTGCATCAATTTCTAGAAATGCCATACCAAGCATATGTTCTCCGCTGCAACAATATCCTATAATTTTATCGTCAACATTAAATAAATTGTTTGCCACTTGTAATTTCGAATTTTTCATTTCAAATATTAAAATTTCTTATTCGTTCATTTGTCTATTCCTAAATGATTCCTTATTAATTTTGGTTATTAGACGTAAAAATTGATATGAATTATTTGTCATGTCATTGAAAAATATTACTACCAAAATGATCGCCTCTTTTTTCCATCCAAATTTCAAACAAATAAAAATATTACTTACAGTGAAGATTAATTAAAAAAGAATAATATTATACAAAAGTTTGTAATGTTAAAGTTTTATCAGTATTATATAGGTATTAGTTTGAACACAAAAAACTTACGGATACTGTCTAATCCAACTTAAAAGTTGTATTAATTCACGCTTATTTAATTCACCTTTTGCCAATTCAGAAATCTATAAATTGATCAAATAATAATCAATCAAATAATGAGAGAAAAAAAAAGAAAAAGTTTTTGTTTGGATCAAAATAAAATTAAAATTCCCTACAAATTATTATCCTTTTTAGTTGTGAAAAAATTTACAATTTTTTTTACAAGTATTAAAAATAAGTATTGGTTGATTGCATCAACGAAATCAATTCTTTGAAAATTAATTTGCTAAACTTTACCTGTAACAAAAAGAAGACGATTATTTATGATTAACTTTATAAAGTTATCAAATTTATGGCATATAATGAAAGAAGCGTAAATATAAAAAAATTAAGCAAAAAATTTATGCAAAACTCTAATGTAAAAAAATAATGAACAAATACCTTATTAGCAATTCCATTGTGATAGAATATAATGAAATTATTGTAAAGTTGATGCTCTTTCGAGAAAATTCGCAAGAAGTGTTTGGCTGTATATAAATCTTCCACAATGTACAAACGACAAATTTCTAAATTTCTGTAAAAAATTTTTTGAATAAAAATAAAGGAAAAAAACTTATCATTTTTATAATTCATTTATTGAGATGAAAAATTATCACAGTGATGTTATTATCAATGTTACTGTTAGGAAACGAACTAATTAAAAGAATATATTTTTGAATTCTAATTTCATCATCATTTCCAATTTTCAATCTGGTTTCTTATAATTTTAATTTTATTTACATTAATTATGCGTATAAAGACATTATTGAAAAAAAGATGGTACAAAAAAAAAAATTGGGAATTTTCAGGAAAAAGATGATATAAATGTTGGAAGGAAGCAAAAAAAGATAGCCAAAAAAAGAAATTCGTGAAAAAAGATTGAAAGGAAATTCACAGGATTAAATTGAAATTTCATATAAATAAACTATCATCATACCTTGTCACCCAATTTTGATTTAATTTCCGATCTTCAATTTGAAAACTTTCTACACGTTGTTGCACACGTTCTTCAATAATTTTAAAAAGCATTTCACGCCAACAATGTGGACGATTTGCAATTTTGAACTGATTGTTCTCATATAATTCATCAATTCTAAAAACAGAAACAAACAAAGAAAAGTAAATCGTAAATTAATTGTAAA